TTGATTGTAGGAACAGACTCTATTAATTAACAATACCAATCCTAGTTTACCCTAAGAAAGTTAGCTCTAATAAGAATACAAATATTTAAGCTTGGTTTAAAGCAGCTAAGCAGAAATAAGGTACTTCATATAAACTAGAGGCCTATGATGTCACCACCAGTGAAACGTTTACTTTAACCACTTAAATCTGAAATCTGGGAATTCTTACTTAGTTCGTGAATCCGTAAGTAAATAAAATGTTACTCTCAAGTCGATTCCCCTTCTCTTAACACAAAGAGATCTACTTTGATTATAAAACAAACACAAGAGGCACTAAATCACACATATTAATGACTAACGGAGCTTAAAATAATTAGTGAAAAGGAAAGAAGATCCTTAAGCTAACCCAATAGAGCTATAAACCAATAAGCATCCTGTCAATTACTGCAGTAAAGCCATGTCAGCTGATTTCATGATGTTCTTCAATTTACAAATGATTCTGGACTTTGGGCTTCCAAATTTAGAAGGTTAAACTGCGGTCTTGATTTTTGTTTTATTTTCTATTATTTATTAAGATGCGTACATTTCAAATGGTCCAGCTAAGGAAATATTGAGGTGGTGCTAATAGGCAAAATGGAGAATATTTAAGATATTTTAAACGCTTATTTCTTATATTTATTGGCTTTCACATCACCAAATATCAGAGGCTGATGTAAAAAAAAAACTCTAGCTTATTCTATAGCTAAATCTTAAAGATTAAGCAAACACACAACTCACCTCATACCGACAGTCTGATGACGTGTACATTTTTAACAATGCCACATGGCTGTCATTTTCTGGTTGAGCCATATGGAGTTTCAGGGAAATTTCTGTGGAAGATGGAGCCCTGAAGAGATAACTTAAATATCAATTCTCAAATACAAAATGCTGGTAAAGAGCCATGGCTAAGTCAATCTTCAGCACAATACAATGAAATAATGTAGAGGAAACTAGATACTACATGCATTATTGTGGATGGACACTTTTCCAGATAGAACACAATTGTTTGAATGCCCCCTCAAAGACACAGGAGTTGGGAGAGAGGGTGGAAGGTAGTTCATGTTTCAAGCAAGTAATATCTAAGTTGCATATAATTTAACATTAATACAAATACTATATATTAAGGGCACAATACTACATAAAGGATACCTACATTTTACTGAGGCAGTTTAATAACTCATATGATTTAAATAAACTAAGCAGAATATCTATTCTTCAAAAACACCAATGTTAAAGTAAATTCTTTCTTATACTTACTGTGCAATGGTTAGTGAATCTTCATAAGACCAGGGAATGTGAAGTTTATAGATACTAGTTATTTCTTCTGTTAAAACATAAAGGAAACATGTATTACTAACCCTATACTACCCTAAATGTTACATAAGCTACTACAATAACTAATTATACAATTGCCCATTTCATAAAAATAATCAGTAAGGGTTATATCACATGATAAAAATTAAAGAGAATTCCCAAATAATGATTTAATTAGATTTATAAAAGAT